ACCTGTCCAAGCCATGAGCAGCCAGTTTCCCCAAGAGAATGGTGTGGGAAACAGTGTCAAAGGCTTTACTAAAGTCTAGGTAGACAACATCCACAGCCTCAGGTCACTCATCCACTAAGCAGGTCACTTTGTCATAGAAGGAGATGAGGTTAGTCAAGCAACACCTGCCTTTCATAAACCCATGCTGACTGGGCCTGATCACCTGGTTGTTCTGTACGTGCCACGTGATGGCACTCAAGATGTTCTGCTCCATAACCCTCCCTGACACTGAGGTCAGACTGACAGGCCTGTAGTTCCCCGGATCCTCCTTACAGCCTTCTTGTCGATGGGCCAGAACAGATACCAAGCAAAAATTTCATCTTTCACACTAGCTGTTCTCTGATACCTTAGTGATACTAGCTAAAAATTAAAACCAAATTATATCCTGGAAGCAACATAGCCCCCACCGTGGCAATTAATCTAACTCACAGTCTGTTGCTACTTGTCCCCTTTCCCACATGCCTTCAGAAGCAGGCAGGGAACAAGCGGCAGAGTAGATGTGTTGTTTTGATGAGCCCAGTTGCGATATTCTTTGTTACACATATGGCGTTTCCCCCCTTTCTCAGAGGACAACTTCTGAAGCCCACACATCTCCTGGGGCTGTCCGGAACAAATACATAGACAGTAGCGAAGAGCAGATGGTCACAACCTGAACATCAAATTCTTAACACCTTGCTTCTGGAAGCAGCTGTCCTGCTCCTCAGAAGACAGACTGTATATAAGTGTGTTGCATGTGCTTAGTAAATGGGATGGAGAGAGCAGAATGCCCTGGAACCCTTACCACAGGAATCTTATTTTTGCTACCTACTTGATGAGAAAGGTTGGGTCTCAGTAAGCTACAGGATAAACAGCTTTAGTTGAAAGAAATCAGTATCAACATATCCTGACATATTTGCTTGCACAAATTCAAGTGGACAGCTGGGATGGTGGGGATTAGAAGACCAAGGTGCTGCTGCTGTACATCATTTTCAGTCAATATGAAGAGCTGAAACTCAACAATTAGCTAGATAATAAAGACACAACCTAAACCTCCTGGGAAAGCTGCTTCTCCTTTGTGCCTTGGCCTCCCCATTACAACCATACTTGCTTAATGCTTACATTTGTCATCAGTACATCAATTACATCTGGTGCAATATATTGATAGCTAAATGACTTGACAATTCTCATCAGCTCTAGCCCAAAAAACCTCACCAAGTTACAATTTAGAAAGGATAGAGCGCATACCTGATAGTACCAACCCAACTCGCCCAGATTCTTTGTTGCAGTCTCGGACATGTCTAAGCATGAGGCTTCTCCTGAATAGTTGTAATATAAATTTACTGCCTGAAAAACATTCTGCAGCAACAATTTGTCGGAGAGACTGGGATCCTTCAAGAACTTGCAGACTTCCTGCAACGAAGAAAGAAGGGGGGGGTCTAAATCTGTAAGAAATAAAGATTAATACATGACACCTGACAGGATATTAATTTCTTTTCAAAGTACAGTCAGACCACTTCCAGAAAGCGTCTTTCTATGCAACGATATACCCTAAGCATTATCATAAAAAACAGTATTCCATTTGCATAGCGCATGCTATTATGAGGAACCTGAAACTTTACATTTCCCAACTAAAACTTTAAAAACAGTGCAACCTTAATATTTCATTCACCAAGCTTTTCAACCCATTTCCCATTCTTTAAAATAGATAACACTGAATAAAGAGTATTTAGCTCCTTTGTAATGAAAGATAACACATGCAAATACATAAATAAAAGCTCCGGGTAGAGATTGGGGTTCCCTGCAGTTTGCCGTAGTACAAATTAAAACATCCACGTAAGGAAAGTTCTAATATTTTTAAGTCCTTTTATACAGCAACATGCAAAATTCTTACTACTTTGTGTTTGGAAAATATGAAGTGGTGGAACAAGACACTGTTTTGCTGGAAAATATGAAGTGGTGGAACAAGACACTGTTTTGCCAGTGAAAAATTAAGAGCAATCTCGGGTAGAGTTTAATTCAAAATCTTAACTGTGGACACAAGTAGTGGGGAAAAAAAAAAAAACCAAAACAAACAGAAAACCCAAAAGCTACTGCCCCAGAAAGTTTTTTCATCTTAAAACATTTCTTTAAAGCAACAATATTCTCTTTGGCAAGGCTTTCTCCTTACCCCTGCTCCCATGGAGTTGGGACTAATACAAGAAGAGTGAAGGGTAAAAGCTGTGAATCTGAGCTCCCAGCCCATGGGAAGAATGCAAAATTACTCTCTGCTGGGAGCAAAGGATGCACTGCAACTCCAACACTGTTCAAGTACAGGCGCACAGGCACACAGGGACAACTCACATGGCCAATGCAAATTGTGCATCTTCTGAGGAGTGAACTTACTATCCTTCCCTCCCTTGTATAATCTTTTCCCCTCATTTTCATTGTGGAAACTAGGAAACTGATCCCTCCCTTGTTCCCCACAGACAACGTCAGAGCACAGCTTCCACATTTTGCCATTCCAAGTAGGTTTTATGGTTTGGCTAGCTCTGCCACCAGTTCTTAACTCAGCAATTAGATGCTTGGAAAGCTCCCTAATTCATGGAAATATACACTGCAGACAGACAGCAGAACAGAGGGCTGCAGACAGCCCTGTATCTGAAGCTCAGATTGCTTCAGTGGTAGAGACAAGAGATCAGTATTTCTAAGAAAGTACTGGCAGCCCACAACAGAGAACAGATTAAGCAACATACATATATATCCAGCTACTCAAACACATTTTACCCCCCTTTCTCACCTTCAGAGTCAGATTAGAACTTCTGTTTCAGAAAAAGTATCTGAACAGCTTAAATAACTCAGATTTCATATATCAGCTTGTTCAGATGAGCCGCAGTCTTTTCTATTTTAGGTTTTGTGCTGGTTTTGGCTGGGATAGTTAATTTTCTTCACAGTAGCTAGCATGGGGCTATGTTTTGGATTTGTGCTGAAAACAGTGTTGATAACACAGGGATGTTTTCATTACTGCTGAGCAGTGCTCACACAGAGTCAAGGCCTGTTCTGCTTTTCACCCTACCCCACCAGCAAGGAGGCTGGGGGTCACAAGAAGTTGGGAGGGGACACAGCCGACACAGCTGACCCCAACTGACCAAAGGGATATTCCATACCATATGACATCATGCTCAGCATATAAAGCTGGGGAAGAGGAAGGCAGGGACCAGTGATGGCATTTGTCTCCCCAAGTAACCGTTATGCGTGATGGAGCCCTGCTTTCCTGGAGATGGCTGAACAATGGGAAGTAGCAAATTAATTTCTTGTTTTGCTTTGCTTGCACACGCAGCTTTTGCTTTCCCTATTAAACTGTCTTTATCTCAACCCACGAGTTTTCTCACTTTTACCCTTCCGATTCTCTCCCCCATCCCACCAGGGAGGAGTGAGCGAGTGGCTGGGTGGGGCTTAGTTGGCAGCTGGGGTTAAACCACAACAGGTTTATACCTCAGTCAAACAGAGATAGCTCTGCCAGCTAAGCATAGCATCAGAAGCTCCAATTACATGTTCTTTTTGCGCAACATTTATGCTCCTCAAGAACAACTCTGCAGGACAGCTGAGTTTTTTCAGTCATCCCTGGCACTTTTCTTCTGGGCTCTTGATGCAACCCATTAGCCCTACAAGTGGCAGTTAGTCAACAAACCAGTTGATGCACAAGAAGATACTGCCCTGGTTCTCTTTTTTCAGCCATGTTGGTTCTACAGAGCCAAAAATAAAGGAAAAGGTGCAGACTGAGAGAGAAGGAGAGAATTAGTTAAACCAAATAGTCAATTCTACAAGACATTAGTTCTTAGTTACCTGTATAGGCCAAGCTGGCAGAGGCTGCAAGAAGTCAGCTTTATAGGGATAGTTCACCATAGCCAAGTTTATCCATGTTTCACTCAGCCAGTTTTTCAATATAGCAGCATCCTGAAGATTTTTTAATGGGCTGCACAAATGGAATGTGCTGGAAAGCCACTGTAAACCCACGTCTTTAATTAAAAAAAAAAAGTAATGTATTAACATATAGGTCAGTTGTGCTGCTGCTAAAAAAATATTTCACTTAGCGTAACTAATCTGGTGAAATTATTCCACACACATGCAAGCATAGCAGATCAAATTTTAGTCAGCACCTCTAAGTGAAGGGAAATACAATCTGCATACTTCAGCGTATGGGTATGTCACAGCTAAGATAACATTATTTAAAAAAAAAAAAAAGACAGATTTGCAAGACATTTGGCATTTTTTTGATAGCAAGTAACATCAAGGCACTCTTCTTCCAATAAAAGGAAAACTTCAAAACGGCTAGCTCACAGTGCAAGGACTTAATCGACAGATCTCCTGGGACTCTCCTGGCCTTTCCTTTCATTATTTTATCTGGTCTAGAACTCATCCAGTTCAGCTTCCCTGATTTTAATTAGCTAACTTATCACACCAGGCTTACTCTTTAGGACACTGAACTCAAGTAGCAAGATTTTTTTTTTTCCAGATTTAATTCCTTTGCTATACAGTGAGCTCATCTGATATAGAATCATAGAACCATTTAGGTTGGAAAAGACCCTTAAAATCATTGAGTCCACCGTAAACCTAACACTGCCAAATCCACTACTAAACCATGTCCCTAAGCACCACATCTACACGTCTTTTAAATACCTCCAGGGATGGCGACTCAACCACTTCCCTGGGCAGCCTCTTCCAATGCTTAACCACCCTTCTGGGGAAGCAATTTTTCCTAATATCCAATCTAAACCTCCCCTGGCACAACTTGAGGCTGTTTCCTCTCATGCTATCACTTGTTACCTGGGAAAAGAAACCGACACCCAACTCATTACAACCTCCTTTCAGGTTGTTGTAGAATCATGGAATCATTTAGGTTGGAAAAGACCCTTAAGATCGAGTTCAACTGTGTCCCTAGCACTGAATCCATAAGGATTGCAGTGATTTTCTATACCTGTTGGTATATTGCCTCTGTTGGTATTTAAACTATTTTTATTAGAGTAGCAACTATCTGGCCTACTTTGTCAGGAAGGAATACAAGCCTTGAGGTTCCAATCTGGAGTCAGCTCCTGTCTGACCTTAGGGATGTTTTGACCTGGGTTCTGAATCACACCAGGTATGAATGAAGCTTGTGATCTAACAAAACACACATTTAAAAAATAATGCTAAGCTCATTTGGTAGTTTTCAGAACTAAGAGTATAGTTTCAAAAAAATCAATACATATACAGGTCAAAGCCATAACATAAACTTGCTGAATTTATGAAGTCGTAACACAATCCTGAACATTATGACCCTTTGAAAAAGCGTTGGTGAGGTCTCACCTGTTGAGGAAAGGTGGTTAATGGCATTCCAGGAATTCCGGATGCTTTCTGAGCAGCCCGTCCCACTCTTTTTGAAATCATTAGTCACTATGCTGAAATAAGTGCCACACGGAACCAAATCACCAAACTGCCAGATTGGGGCAGAGGCTGCCAGAGCTCTGCAAAGGGACATAAAAAGATTGTTTGGGAAAACATATGCATCCTGAACCCCCGCAAAGTGAACTTCTGTCCTCTGGTCAATACCCTCCCCACAGCCACTATCTAAGTAGCATTTATAATTCATCTTGGACACTGATCCCTAGGTGAACTAACCATAACATTGCAAACCTATTCCATAGGTCTGCATGCAAAGGCTGTTGAAGGTTCTAAGTCTTGGACTCTAGTACAAAGATACGAGTGAATACATAAAGTAGAAATTCAGACTTGCTTACTTTATTATTTTTCATTCTCATCTAGTAATTAGGTCTTTCTCACTAGGCATTATGCAAACTCAACTGAAGAAAGCCTCTGCCCACAAAATTCTACTCTCTAGCAGGTGCGGTTGACACACCTGAGGGACGGGATACCATCCAGAAGGATCTGGACAAGCTCGAGAAGTGGGCCCATGTGAACCCCCCGTATCAATACAGTCTGGGGGATGACAGGATTGAGAGCAGCCCTGCCGAGAAGGGCTTGGGGGTATTCGTGGACGAAAAGCTGCACATGAGCCAGCAGCGTGTGCTCGCAGCCCAGAAGTATCCTGGGCTGCATCACAAGAAGCGTGGCCAGTAGGTCGAGGGAGGTGATTCTGCCCCTCTACTCTGCTCTGGTGAGACCCCACCTGGAGTACTGCGTCCAGCTCTGGAGCCCTCAGCACAAGACAGACATGGACCTGTTGGAACGGGTCCAGAGGAGGGCCACAAAAATGATCAGGGGGGTGGAACGCCTCTCCTATGAAGAAAGGCTGAGAGAGTTGGGGTTGTTCAGCTTGGAGAAGAGTAGGCTTCAGGAAGACCTTATTGTGGCCTTTCAATACTTAAAGGGGGCTTATAAGAAAAATGGGGACAAACTTTTTAGTAGGGCCTGTTGCAACAGGACAAGGGGTAATGGTTTTAAACTAAAAGAGGGTAGACTTAGACTAGATATAAGAAATTTTTTACAATGAGGGTGGTGAAACACTGGCACAGGTTGCCCAGAGAGGTGGTAGATGCCCCATCCCTGGAAACATTCAAGGTCAGGTTGGACAAGGCTCTGAGCAACCTGATCTAGTGGAAGATGTCCCTGCCCATGGCAGGGGGCTTGGACTAGATGACCTTTAAAGGTCCCTTCCAACCCAAACTATTCTCTGATTCTATTTACTAATCTTGTTTCCCAGAGGGAAACTAATGCACTGAAGAGATTAAAGACCTGCCTCAAGTCACCAGGAAGTCTGGTGGCCCTAAAAAAAATTAGATGTAAAGTCAGTGTTCATAATAATTGTTTTTACAAACCTAACACAGCTCTGAAAATATACACCATACAGTACCTGCTGACCTACAGTTGTTTTTATTAAGCAAACAGTGCCTCTTCCCAAATTCAAAGTAACTTAATTCCTCCTCCCAATAGCGAAAAATTCAAGCCAGCTTGAATTATGGTACTTTTCCCAGTGCTGTACTACGTATAGCACAGAAGTAACAAATGCCTGCTCTGTGTCTGAGCAGGATGAGTACACTCACCCAACTACCACATGGGGGTACTTCATCCTAAACCAGGCTGCAAGCATTCCTCCATAAGATCCTCCTATAGCTATGACAGAACTGTAACGGGCTCCTGCAATGGTCGTCTTTAAGTACTCAACCAGTACTGCGAAGTCTGCTAGAGCTTGTTCTGATGTCAGGTAATTCAGATGCTTGGAATCCTGAGACAAAGAAAGCAGGTTATATACAGCATGGGAGTGATTTCCAGCAGCAGTCTTTCTGTTCCCCAGCTGACCAGTTCTAAATCTGTGCCTGATAATGAATGAAATATTCTTTGCAGGTGTCCCCTGAAGTGCTAGAAAATCTCCACTTTTTTTTTTTTATCATCCTAGAATTGATAGTTGCAAAAATAGGATAGTTGTATGCTTCTAGCACATCTAAATCTTACTCAGGCTAACAGTCATTGCACTGGCAAGAATTACAATAGGCAGAATTACATTTGTATAGAACACATTTAAGGAAGAAAAAAAGATGCTTACGCTGAAAGACTCATTCCCAAAGGGCAATGATTCTCCATAATATCTATGTTCAGCAAATACTAACATGGCATTAAGTTCTTCAGCCACATCCCACATAAAACCCTGGTTGGAGGAAAATAGACATTTAAATAAGTTGAATTCATTATTTTCAAAGTCTCTACTTTCAGTCTAGTGTATTCCAACTCCTATTCTTTGATTAAAAAGATACCACTATCAAAATACAACCATACAGACAGAGTGCAATATGGTTTTAAAGTATCACTGAAGTAAGAAAACACACAAAACAAATATCCACCCAGAGAGAGGGACACATATAAAGAAAATATGTATATTTTAATGCTGCAAAATACTAAGCAGTATTGTTTTGTGAGTACACACAGGCAATCCTGCCAGAAATCATATGGCATAACCTTAATCCATAGGAAATAAAAAACACTACAGGAGAAAAGCATGCATTTGAGTTAGGACTACATTACAGAAAACACAAAATTTGTTTGGCAATAAGCATTAATCTAGAGCATTGCAATACACTTATTTTCAACTAATAAATAACTACAACTTGTTATTACTTGTTGACAGCAGCTTGTTACCACCAGTTATGGAAACAGGCAGACAGAGATCACCTGCTGACAGAACAAAGTGTGTAAGCAGTCCTTGGTTGCTTTGAGCCCAGCACATGCCACCTCCTGTTGTGTTACTGGACTTTGTATTGAAGTGGCTGAAAAATGCCCACGCGCGCCATTCTGCATTTCTATCAGTCAGGGAAGTAAAAACTTCCACAGGTCTTGTCAGAGAACAAGAATCCTCTATCTTTGGTTTCCAGCCCCCTTCATTTCACTTCACATTTTTCTTATGGAGAAAAAAAAAACCATCAAAACCTCCCATTTTATTTGGGGAATCCAAAGTACTGGGATAGGTGTAATTTGGTCCAAAAATTTGCATTCTTTGCTGGAGGCACCTTATAGTGTTTCCTCTAGAAATTTTCTTCACTGTTCCAGGAAGTTAATACAAGTGCACCCCTTTGATTTCTATAGGCTTCGAATAGGACCCTGACCCCCTAAAACCCTCTATGCTTTTTTTTCAGGTTCCTCTTCCTCCTATAACAATCATAACAACCATTACAAACTTCTCTTTAAATGATATTCTGACATTGTGTCCTTGTTCTTCCTCATTTTTCAGTATCTTTCACTACTGGAAAGAAGGATTGTAGTTCAAGAATCAAGAATCTATTTTCTACATACCGTATTGTTGCAGAACCACGTGATGTCTCCTTCATTGCCTGTATAAAATAGTATTGGTCCATTGTCTTTCTTCCAGTGCTGATCTGCTACTAGATACCGCTGCTGGAATGTAAGATTTTCATCAAATCCAAAGTGATCAATCTGCAAGAACAAGGAACAACAACATGTTCGAAAAGCTAAAATTGATAATGGAGTCCACTGCAAGTGCTGACAGTCACTTTGCAGTTAAAAAAATAAAGAAAAGCAAGAAAGTTTTACTAAGATTAAAAAAATATGACGCTGAATTAATTTATATTCTTAGATTCCTAATACATAAAAATTCTTCTGCTTTACAAAGGAAACCAGCCAATATTACAGGTGTATACACTGAAGAAATGTTATTTTCAGCTATAAAAAAAGAAAATCCATGCTCTTTTAATAGTATCATACTTAACATGAGATATTCTAAATATATTTAGGAAATCAGACAAATCTGCTGAGGTGTCACGAAGTATCTGATGTAATAAAACTGTATCAACAAGTAAAGAGAGTCACTGCCCCGCAATCTTTTGAGTCTTAGGAAAATACCGTACTAGCTTTATAATTTATTAAAAAAACCAACAACCAACAAACCAAAAACAAACAAGCAAACAAAAAAACCTACCTCTTCCTTCTCTCCCCCTTTTGGCATAAGGTTGAAATTTAAACAGATTCTTGTTAGAAAATGGGGTTAGTTTTTTAGTTCTTGGAAAATACTAATTCTCTGTACTTCTTGTGCTATTGACAGATTTTTCACATAGCTTTATGGACTGCTTCTCCTTCTCTCCTTGTAATTTTCACTAATTTACATACCCTCCCCAATTTTTTCCACTGCCCTATAAATATCGCAAGCCTATATATACATGACTTAAACCAAAGCCCACAGTGTTAGCTTTATTACCTCATTAGAAATTTAATTTCTATTCCTAAGTTTTTCAGCTTTTATTCACACTACTTTGTATTCACTATCCCCCCTGACCCTTCCCCAAGCATTCATCCATGCTGGAAAGTTTATCAATCCCTTTTACAAGGTAACTCCCTGCACGGGCATAATCTTATTCTGGAATATCCACACAGGCTTTTACTATAAAAAATAAAAAACCCAAACCAAAACACAAAACTAGTCCAGAAGAGCTATGCTGCTTAATTACCATGTATTCACAAATCACCACTACTTTTATTCATCAGTTGAAGATGACCTGTAATTTCCCAATTTTTACTTCCGTCAGCACAAAGCATCATCTTTTCCTTTCATATTGTTTCTTGCTGGTGGTAACAGCCTGACATCTGCTGGCTTGAACATCTCTGCTCACCCATCTGCCTTTACACCGACAACTCTGCCAAATCTCTCAGGCGCTCCAGGAACCAACCTTTCACATTTCCTGTTTTGAGAAGATCTGCAAGTTAATGTTAAAAAGCAGCAAATCACACACAAATCCAAGGACATGCTGCTAACATAGTGATCTAACTGCTAGGCAGATTCCTCCAGGCAGCTCAGGAAAGCCTAACTCTTGACCTGCAGGATCCAGCTACTCCACACCATGCACTTATATTTGCTTTGGGTCTTATTTAAGATACACAATCTGCTGCTAAGTGTCTTTTTCAAACTCCCTCAAAGCTTACTCACTCTTGGACTGAAGTGAGAGGACAGTTGCGTTGCAGCTCACTGCTAGCAGAACAGCAGGAGCAGTTGAAGGTCTATGCATGGTCTTGACAGACATAAGAGATAAGGTCTTCGCCCTGAATAAGTTAACTTCAGTGACTGCTTCCAGACCTAGATAAAACATAAATTTATATATATTCTACAGTTTTGCTCAGTGGGACCACTTACTACTTACTCATACATGGTGATGTTATCATGCTTTTCTGAATTCAAACGTTGACAACATGTCCTGGGCTTATTTTACACTGACAACTCACCTGCTCCTTTTTCATTTGCAGAGTTATTAATTTTAGTTTTACTTTCTACATCAAGCATAATCAAGAGCGATTAGATGTAGAAAGGCAGAACAAGGTCAGCAACTGGAAAAGTCTTTGGTCCTAATGTTGTCCCTCAAGCAGGGTTCGTTACCCGGTGTGCAATGAGCCAATCTCACACACAAAGCCGAGATATTTGTTTATTCCATGTCTGCACAGAGATAGGTGCTAGGTGGTAACTCCACAAAGCTAGCTGAGATTGGCTCATTGCAGTCGGGTAATGAACCCTGCTTGAGGGACAACAGTTTTGACGACCCAGATGGGACTGCCATTCTAGCCTTGCCCAGACTGTCCTGCCATTCCGGATGGGAGACGGGACCGGGTAGGACTCCAGCGCGCACTGACCTCTTGATCACGGACTCCACCGGTTCCTCTCCACCGACGGGCGACAGGCAATGCAACGGTGCAACGCCACAATAAGAGGTATTTGCAAGCAGGCAAGGGACCGCAGAGTAAATCGCCACTTTTCGGGATTGCTCTGCGTAAGACACGCCTAGAAAAAAGGCCCACGGCTGGAGCTTCAGTAACGGCTTCTCATGTAGACGCATGGTAAAATCTTTTTACCAACAGTGGGTTAGAGACAGGTGCGCAGTAAAAAATCTTGCCTTTGCCGACAGGGGGTCAGAGCTGGGTGCGTGGTAAGTCGGTGCTGGTGACACCTGGCTCGGAGCAAGGACTGAACACGAATGTAAAACTGCAACTATTGATTTGTTGAATTTTTGGCGTTTAGCTGGATACCAGGTATCCCAGAAAAAGGCCCAAGTGGTACAAACCACAGTTAACGTACTTAAGATTTGTAATTTCTCAAGGAAAAAGAGAATTGGGAGCAGAACAAAAAGAAGCCATTTTATACATTCTGAGCAACAGTTATCAGTACTTTTTACATTTACACTTAGTCCCCCTTACTTCTATTGGTTCTTGGAATGCCTCGTCTTCGCTTAAAGTCACAGTGCCCTTTCTTTTTACTGCGCATATTCACTGGGGAACGGGCTTTGTTGGGTAGGGGGCTTCCCGCACGTGGGTGGGTTTTTTAATATGCTAATTAGGATAGTTCACCCGTAGTTCAAGTAGTTGTTTCTTTTTCTATTCTCTTAGTGCTTATCTTGGTACTCCCTTACTTGACCAACTTAGCACGCTTCCTCCCCAAGGCCATGCCCACTTAATGCCCTACAGAGGTTGAATAATGTTTTGTTGCATTTCCCACCAGAGCCTTCCTGGGATTCACCATCCTTGGTGCATCTAATCCCCAAGATACA